AATAATTGAAAATGGTAATTAAAATGATAAAGTTTATTGTATATTTATGAATAAAAAGCATTGCAATTAAGCTCATTATTTTGCTGTGTAGTAAATTCATAATAAATTTAATTAATCACCTTAACACATTTCAAGATTACAATTAAATGCATAATGCTATTATAAGATCTACAGTTAATATTTCTTGAGTATAAAATATAAATGTAAATAACACTAAAATTTATGAAATAGAAATAAAAATATAAATAGTAAACTTATTTAAAAACATCAATGTAGGTTTTTCTTGACTTTAGCACTTTAGCCACCGGATCAATCACCTTCAATTTAATCACCACGGTTAAAACAACAATGACAAACGTGGACACCGGTGTGATTAACGCACCCGAACAGTATGGGTAATACTGGGGGTTGTAATATATAGCTCGGGATAATGCGGCCAATACTATGAATATATTAACAAAATTTAGCATGATCACTATGTATTCGTAAATAAATATTATACTCACAGACTATAAACACACATATGGCAATCGTGTAGCATGCAATTTTAAACTTCTGGGCCAATTTACCAGGTTCAGTGTTGTGGTAGACTGTCCAGCACACGGCATACAAAGTACCCATTATTATTGTCACAATAGGTAGTTCGGGTGCGCTCCGACAGTTAGTCACATAAATTGAGCCTAATCATTATATTACATTAAATTAAACCTTGTATAAATAGTTATTGTGACGCTAATAATTTGCATTAATTTTACCCAGTAGAATCAGCATCAATTGTACGCCATAAGTCAAAATTATCGTGATCGCTTTGGGAACTAAATATAAACATGATCATCAATATTAATATAAAAATATTATTTGAATTACAAAATTGTTCATTGTTTAATAAATAAAATATTTACCATATATCGCCAACACATCGAGCACATAATTCTTAACGCATTCATGTTGTTTGATAAAACTATCAAAATGATCCTGATCATTGTCAGTCACTGATGGTGATTTATCGTTATTATCCATAGTCAAACAGATATTGCTCAGACCCTGGTCACATTTATTAGACACATTAATTCATTAATATTTGACAAACCCTTTATATAAACAAATTCCAGGAAATATGTTGTTATGTCTGATATCACGTGACGTTACATAACTTGTATATACAAAGAGTTTGTACATAAATATAGCGATAGGTTAGTTCATATACAGTATGTCATACAATATTAGGCTTAAATAATAGCGTTATTTGTTTAATAAATTTTTTATTGTGTAATTTAAAACTTTTTACGAATACAAAATAAATGTTATTATTTAATAGTTTGTTTGGTATACAAAGGACTAAAATTTTTATTAAATACATAAATATAATATTTTATATAATTAAACTGTTAGAGAATTGTCATAAATTTAAGCTCAATATTTAAATATATGTTTTATAACATGTATTGTAAAATAATAAAAAATTAATTAAGAATTAAATCAAACACTGGACAAAACTATCTAATTATTGTATGAGATTACCATGTTAGTTATGAAATAAACTTTAAATTAAAAATAATAATTATTATTATTATATAATATGTGGCTCAAAATTGTTAAATCAAGTTAGTATACAATGTTGTATTAAAGGTTAGAAAAATTCATAAATATGTCCATGTAGGTCTTTTGTGGCCACAGTACTTTTTTAACCGGATCAAGCACTTTACATTTGACCACGATCATCATTACAACTATGACAAATAGCGTCACCGGCACTAATAATACGGGCGTACAGTTTTGTACGGATCTACCATGTACGGCACGATACGGCTCAAAATATATGGCCCGTAATAATGACACAATCACTACAATTTAAATCAGTAAAATTAACAAGGTTAATTGTTTTTAAAAAATTATAAGCACTTATATAATAATATTACATACAGACTGTGAATATGGATGAGAATGTGGTAAAGCAAACAGATTTGAAAATCTGTGGTAATTTGCCCTGGTTAGTGAGTTGGTAAATGACCCAGCACACAAAATATACAACGCCCATGATTAGCGTTACGTATGGCAGTTCTGGATTCCAACGGCACGCGGTTATATCCGTAAAGAGATTCAGTAACCCTGGTCATAGATTTAATTTAATAGCAATTAATTAAAATACTACCATATTTATAAATATATGCATGTTGTGTTTTTACCCAGTATTACAAACAGCAATTGTACGCCATATGTCAAAAATATTGTTATTCCTTTAGGAACTAAATATAAACATTGTATTTAATATGAATATTAAATGTTCAAGTTATAGTAAATTATGGCTTCAATTGTATAATTTTAATTACCATATATCGCCAACTTATCGAGCACACAGCCCTTAATGTGTCCAGTTGATTTTGTGGCCAAAACCTGAGGTTTGTCATCACTCAACATGACAACCGTGGTCATTTTACTTATGAGCTTAATGAATTAATATTACTGTCAAAGCCTTTGTGGTGAGATAAATATAAATTCCTGGAAAACACTTTATAAGACTACTATATTATATAATATATACATTGAATTTCTTACTACAGTATACTGTATTGTTTATACATGTTCAAGGTCAAACAATACTGAGAATTCAAAACTTGTTATTTCTATGGCTATTACTTTTTCATATAGATATTAGAAAACTTTTTTAATCCAATATTTATTATATTATTTTATATTGTTTTTACTTGATATAAAAGGGACAAAAACTAATTTAGTTAAGCCTTTTTGCATTAATAGTTACACAAATAATTTTGAAATATAATATTTTAAAAGTTACGTCAGTATAGTACTGACAGCAAATAATTTACCATTTTGGATTAAATAAAAAAATTGAATAGTTTTTATTGCAAATACAATTTTGATATACAATTAAGCTCATTAAAGTTTGTAAATAATTAGTGCACATGTGTAAAATAGTAAAAATAATATTAGGTAAAATAAAGCATCGAGGGTGCGATTTAACATAGTTTGAGATTACATAAAATGCAGAATGATATTCTTGGGTTACACAAATTAATCTAGCTTGAATATAAGTATATATTATGAATAAAGTCCGTAATTTAAAAACAATAAAAAGTAAAAAAAAAGCCAAATTAATAAAAAGCACCAGTGTAGGTTTTGCGCGACTTTAAAACTTTAGCAGCTGGGTCGATTAACTTTAACTTAATCACGATGGCTAATACAATCATAGCAAACGTAGCGACAGGTGCGATCAGCACGTTTGAACATGATCGCCAATATGTGAATATGCACATCGCACGTACTAATCCAACTAGCACTATTTAAATTAACAATAATTAGCATA